CATAGAGGATTTTGTTGTTTTACTCATATGGAAGGAGGGCAAAATCTGACATGCTACAAAACAATCAAGTTCTACCTGAAGTAACTTCTAACCTACTAGTTTCAGAAAAATAATCTTTTGTATTCTAAACTGTGATCTTTCAACTGGTAATTTTTCAACTAAATCTTTTATACGGAGTGTAAAATGCTTCCTTTTTAGACCTGACAGGTTGAGAATTAGGCTCTGTAAGTATAACTTCTTGACCTAATATAATGCTTTTTCAGATGTAGAGAGGTACCATGGTCAGTGTGTGCATGGAAGTTCATTACCAGCCGTATGATCTTCAAAGAAATATTTGATTTTTCAGATTTGGTAGCAGAAGTACTGGTCTTTTATTTGTTTTGTGATCATTAAAAATGTTGTCGTTTGTCATTTGAAGAGGTTGTCTTGATGAAATTCTGAACACAACTTTTTTCAAACTCGTAGGACATCTTAGATACTGAATATAATGGAGAAGAAGCATTGGAACATTCCACAGAACAGTCTGACCTGACTTCAGCAGATATTAGTGACTCTGATACTGGTAATGTTAGCATTGCAATCTTGAATGTGCTTTAATCTTAACACTGAACATGAATTTTAGTAAGCTTTTTTCCCTGCTTCTCTAAAAGCAGAGCTTACGAGCAGAACAAAGCCAAGGTCAAGTAGCATAAATTAATAGTTTTGGGGATTTTTTCCATTCTCTACAAATGTTAGAAAGGGCAGACTATTCAAAAACATTCATCCTACTTAACTGTAGGATTTGGGGAAGAACTGGATTAGTTACAACTCTGACTTTCCTCTGTCCCGAGGCAACTGTTTCCAAGGAGGCTTTCATAGTTTAACTCTGGCTTTTTTTTTTTTTTTTTTCATTTCTTTCCCTTCTTGGTGGAGAAGAGGCTTAGTGCAGGTCTCATGCAATTGAGATGCTAGTGGAAACAAAATTATGTTATATAGGATGGAAAATTCTGTTTAATACCTGAATATTGCAGCTACTTGGCCTCAGTTCTTCTGATTAATTTTTTCAAAGAATCTTGGATTTCTTTGAGGTCATTTCCTTCTTGATATAAACAAATGTTTATTTTTCTCAGGCATAGGAAGTACAATCCTATGCTTGGAGAGGAAAAATACCCAGAATACTAGTGAAGCTATTTTGTATGATTTTTTTTTTGTAGTGGCAATTTTCTTTTTTTTTCTACGAAGCTTAGCTTTTGAAAACCTCAATTAATACAATGCTAATAATAAAAATTGCAAGGACCTACAATATATGAGACTTGCAACTCTTAGTTCCTTTTTGTAAGCATTATGGAAATAGCTTTTACCCACCTCCCCACCCTTGTTTCTCCAGGATTTTCTGTAAATAGAAAGCATTCCTGACTCTCAGTTGTATGAAAATGTAGCAAAGTCAGATGTGAACCTTACCAGCAATGCTGCTGTGCCAGACTGGAAATGCTTGTTTTGAAAAGCCCTGTTTAAAGAAATAAGTAAAGAAGCCTCTTCAGAATCTTCTCTTACTGAAAAACAGTATTTCTCTTCTTTAAGATTATTCAAGCAGCCGATCAGCTAAGCAGTCCTTATCAGTAAATGAAGAAGATGAACCCCAAAACTTTTCAACTGGCTCTTCGGAAACAGCATATGAGAACAACATCACTACTGAATTTTTGAACAGTGTAAGAAATATGGATGTTGAGGAAGTTACTGCTACTCTACACAAAATAGCAGCAGCAAATCCAGCTTTCAGAGGTAATTCACGTATACATGCATACACACACAAACGCATACATAGAATTATACATAACATAATTTTGTTAGCTCTGTGAAATACTAAGGGTATTTGGGTCAAAGAACTTTGAGGTATTAATGAGGGCTGAAGAGACTTTTTTTCTTCCCCTTTAACTTTTTGTTCCAGTTTAGGAACGGTAATTCAAAATGGCTGCCTTCCCATGGAGGTGTTAATAATTGCTGAATTTCTTTTTAAATTCTTTTCTTATTTGTGCATAGTAACATTCATATGGTGAGAGATAGTAAATTGAAATCAAGCATATTGTTATTAGAAAAAAGGAGAATCTTTCGTCTGTGACTTGGGAATGCCAACAGCAAAGAAATTTTTACTGATTCCTGAAGGAACTGTACTTGCACAGAAAAAAAAATGAATCGGAGACAAGTAGTCCTCCTTTTGCTTACAAGTTTCTAATAAGTTTCAGCTACTAAACCTTCCCATGTCTCCAGTCAACCGCTGCCCTTTCTTCAGAAACATCCTGTGTACATTTCTAAGCTTCTCAGAGTGTGTTTAGGATCATCAGGGTAAAAAAAGAACACTGAAGATGAGTACATTGTAGGGAAGCTTAAGATATGCTTTGCCTGAGCATTCACTGTGGAAGAAACTGGAGCGACTGCAATCCATGCCATAAGCCCTCCTTGGGCATGTGTGTGTGCGCATGCGTGCCAACAACTCAGCAGAGTATCTGTTTGGAATGGAAGTTCTGGAACAAATTGACAACATAAAACCATGAAAGTAGCAAATTGTTGTAACTCTTCCATGAATATCACCTGGTCCTTGGGACCTCCAGAACAAAACGGTTAAGTTACTGATAGTAGTGATTTCTCCCATAAAGCTTTCTCTGGAACCTGAAAATTTGTGGGTGGCAAATGTGGTTCTCTTTTATGTATATTTCTCTTCTTTTAGGGTTTTTTTTGTGTGTTGAACATTGCTCACTGCCCCCTGCCCCCCTCCGGAGCTGGACAGGGAAGAGAATAGGAAGAACAAAAGTGAGAAAACATGTTGGTCACAATAAAGACAGTTTAATAAGTGAAGGGAAAGGGTGGGAGGGAAGAAGTGGTGCAAAGACAATTGCTCAGCACTTCCCACAAGCAGACTGATGCCCAGCCAGTCCCTGAGCAACAGCCACCTTGGAAGCCAACCTCCACCCCCTTGCCTCCCCTGTTTTTACTGCTGCGCATGATGTATGGAATATCCCTTTGGCCAGTTTGGGTCAGTTGTCCCAGCTGTGTCCCCTACCAGTCTTTTTCCCATCCCCTGCCTAATCACTGTGAGGGTGCAGTGTGGGAAAGAGAGAAAGCCTTGAGGCTGGGCAAGCACCCTTCGGCAACAGCCAAAACACTGGTGTGTTATCAACACTGTTTTGGCCACAAATCCAAAACACAGCGCCATACAGGCTGCTGTGAAGAAAGTTAACTCCAGTCCCAGCCAAAACCAGTATAGGATTCCAGGTGATCTTTGAAACTGCCAGCTTCTATCGGACAGGTCAATAGAAACCGTTTAGAAAAACAAGGTAGGAATTAGTGGACACCTGGAAAAATATGATCTGCTTAGAGTGGTTGGGGGGGAATAAATAACGGCTTTTGCGATAAGAAATCCTGCCTTACAGACTTTCTGGAGTAGTCTGAAAGGGGTCAGCAAAGGAGTCAGATAAAGGAGATCCAGTTCATATAATCTGTTTGGAATTCCAAGAAGCTTTTGATAGGTACCCTAATCAGAGGCTTTTAAGGGAACTAACTGGCTGTGGGAAAAGAGAGAAATCCTTGCGTTGTTAAATAATAGAGGTAGCAAATGGGCAATTACTTTCTACAGTGAGAAGCGGTTCCAGTAGAGAACTGTGGGCCTGTGCTTAAGACCTGTGCTGTTCAGTATCTTCACAAATGACCTGGAAAAAGGGATGAGTATCTGGATGACAAAATTTTGTCAAATTCAAAACAGTTAAAACTGTTGGTTGACTGACAAATTTCAAAGGTCCTCATCAGATCAGTGGAAATACCAACTTATCAGTCAGACGAATGTCGAATACAAGGAATTAAGGAAAGAATGGAAAGCAAGATGGGAGTCATCATTTTGCTGTTGCATAAACTCATGCTTTGCCTGTATCTGGCATGGGGTATATATTTCTGTTTCCCTTATTTCAGATAAAGGACTTAATTGCTGCAGAAGGTTTAGAGAAGGCAACAAAATATGGGAATATCTTCCATACAAGAAGCAATAGAAAGCTAGGATTCCTTTTGGCCTGGAAAAGAGATGACTGAGATATTATAACAGACTTTTGTAAAATCATGAATGGATGGAGATGACAGACAGGATTCTATCATTTCCTGTCTCTCTTGATCCATAAACTTGTAGCAGTATGGGAGTCCAACTTCAAAATGGACAAAAAGAGATGGTTCCTCATACAGTAGTAGGTGGATGATCTATGGAACTCCTAGCAAAAGGATACCGTGGATACAAAAATATTACGTGTCCTTGTCTTCGCTGTCTGAGCCAGACTGGGCAAGTGTTTGGAAGAGGGCTACTGAAAAGTTTGCCCTATCAGACTTGGGAAGTTTCCTGAGCTGAAGATGATCTGAGATTGGGAGAACATACTATTCCCACACCCCACCAAGCATCAGGCATACTTGCCCTGCTCTTACTCTTCCCTTAGCATTTGGTTATGGGCGCTGAATGTTTATTATTGCCACTTAAACAGTCCCCGTGTTTCTTCTTCATCTCTCCCCCACCTAAAGTCATGGGCATTAGTTTCATCAAAGCAACGTGGCCTTCTTGCTTGTGTTCAGAAGAGGACACTTTGACTTACTGTTACGGTGATAAAATCAAGCACTGCTGGTCATGCTTTCCTGATTATCAGCTGCAGACCTTTGAAAGTTGGCGACAGAGCAGACCCTGTAACTGAACCAGTACAGCTGTGTACAGCAATATACACTTACAGTTACCAGGCACACTCCGATTGTTGACAGTTACGGTGTTTTTCATTTAGTAAGAAAAGATCCAAACTCATGTCAGCATCTAAATGTTTCAGTATAACTTGTGCTTTTAGAAGTATTTTATCATCAGACCACTTATTTTCTGTTTTTATTTATTTGTTTGTTTGCCTTTAACTAAGGAATTGATATTCCGAATGTTATAAGGATCCTGACTGAAAGTGGAACTCTGAGAAGACCAAGCAATGGCAGCACACAGTGACATGGTAGTTAATATAGCAATGTTTACTTTCTGTAAGTTTGAGATTGTTGTTTTACTTAATATGAACTCAATGTAGCTGATTTTGCTATGTACAAATGTTGTACAGTGTTATTTTAATTAAATTAATAACTTGGTTTTGAGATTCTTGTTATTTATTTCTCCATACAGCTGAAATTTCTGTATTTGTGGAAAGGTTGTAACGCTCACGTTCTTTCCACGTTAAAACATACTTTTAAAACAGGTATCTTGTTTTTCTAAATATCTTTAAATACCATACGGTGACAGTCTGATCTTTTCTTACTGTTGGTTCTTTTACAAGGCGTTATCAACAGAATGAACTACTGCAGTCAGCAGTACAAATGCATCCTATGACAAATACTTGGAAGTCACTCCCTGTGGCTGCTGGGCCTGGTTGAAAAGCTATTGTAATCAAACATCCCTTCCCATATAAGGATTATGAATAGGTTTCCACATATGTTTTTAAAGATTAAAAATAATAATAAAAAGTCAGTGCTGTCAGTCTAGTTCTGAGTTGAGAAGTTCCTAGATTATAGGCAATTTAGGGATCCTAGATAGCTGGAAGCTTTAGCAAAGTCAACAGAGGTTGGCTACGTCTGCAAATTCAGGGATACGTCCCAAGAGATCTAAGCGGACTATGGTTAAGGGACACTGGTGTGGTCGCGAAAGTATCTTTTGTCTTCTCTTACCCCACCAGTATGCGAATGGAATGGAAGCTGGCTTATACTGTCCTTCAATTCAGGCTCTTTTAATGTGCATTTTTTTCCAGCTATAGCAGTAGTGTTTTTGACTGAATGAAGGTCTGTATATTAATTACTACTTTTGTAGGATGATGAAAAATGTTTTGGAAGGTTACAAATTAGCGTGCTTGGAAAAAAAAAATTTTTTTTAAATTAAATTGTGTAATTAAAATTTGCTTCCTGCTTGTGATGTTGGGTAGCATTCAGTGGCTCTTGTTAAAGCTCTTCGGCTTTGCAGCCAAATGCCAGTATAGTGTAGACATGCTGGTGCCAGATGGTAAATGAACCTTTTAATGTTAACTTACACTTTTTTTGAGATCTGGATGGAACTGAGAATCCTCATCCTGATGGTTTCACATGTTCATATCGTGGAATGCAAGACACCATAAAAATAAGGTAACAAAGAAAACAGCAACAAAATTGGTTAGTTTCGTTCTATGAACAGACACAGGAATGAAAAGAGTTCAAAGGCAATCAAAGAAATTAAAACACAAAACGCTGCTTTAAAGAAACTGTGAAGAATTTCTAGAATGCCTCTAAAGACGTTCTTGTCAGAAGCAGAGGTGGAACCAGAGCTCTTACGGCTCATTTGCTCTATAACAGGGACAATGTTAATGCCTGCTTAATGAAGATGAACTTGATCAGTAAAAACATCTTTTAGTTGACGCGAAATTCTGAATTCTGTTCCTGTAATACAGAAAATAAGAATAGGAACATCTTTTTATTTGTTTGTTTTCGAGGTGCAGAACATTCTATTAATTAAAATAATAAAATCAGAATGTTCAGCTGTTGTAAATGGCCATCTGCGGGACAGCTTCTTTTTCCTCTTACTGTGGAATCATTCCTAGTGGAAATAAAGTTAAAATTAAGTTGAAATTACTTGGATTTGAGTAGTTGTTTTTTTTTTCTTGGGTGCAGGAGGAGCATGCTGAAAATGGAAAGATCTCTGGATCTATAGCACACTGATATAAATGGTTTGAGTGGTATGCTGCAGAGTGCTGCTCTACTTCTCACAGACAGCTGAGAAAACTGAACTGCACAAAAATCATCAAGTGTATGTTTCTGGAAATGTTTTTTGAGAGAATGTCTAACACAGTCTATTCAGTTGTACAATTATCTTCCCCTTAAAACTTTTTTTCCTGGTGCAAACAGAGGCTGCAAAAGAATGATATTAGTTTGTTCTTGTATCCGCCTGTGTTTTGTGTTGGCTTGGTATATTCTTATATTAATGGAAAACTGTATGTTTGTTCCAAAATAGTTTTTAAGGATAATGTTCTCCTTGTGCCAGAATTTTAAGTAAGAAAAAAAAGGCATTCTTTTTCCCAATGATGCTTAAATGATGCTGCTGACTGTATTTAGTATTATACTTTTTAATTGTTTCTCACAGCAACAGCCAGGCAGACATCTGGGGTAACTGGAGAATTAACAGAATTAAAACTTAAGCAACAGCAAGAAAAATTAAACCAGGAGAGAATCCATTTTTCTTTTAGCTTTACCTTAGTTTTACACATTTTACTTGGAGAGCTTCAGAGAAGTGATCTCTAACAAAAAGAACGCAGAACTTGTACTCCTCTTAGAAGGCAGAAAGTGGAAAGGAGGAGGGTTTTCACAGGTGACTTGACAGGAAATGAAAGGTTCCGAATGTGCAACAGACGACTTGCTGTCCGGTGTAAATTGTGATGTCTGTTCTAGACGGGTATGGAAGCGTCCTCCTCTTGTTTTGCTTCCTGCGTCTTCTAGGACTGTGCTCTGTCCTTCTGACTTAGGAATTCATTGCCCCTTTTGAAGCCACACGCCCCATCTGGTGAATTCGATCTAGGTATCGGTGTACAAAATGATACAGCGTGTCTGACGGTTTGATACGGCATGTGAGACCTGGAATGTTAACGCTGACTCCGCCTTGTCTCCACTGAAGTTATCTCCTCTAAATGTTTTCCAAGTCTACAAACACAAATCTTGGTATTTGTTATTATTAACGCATTCTTGTTGGAGGAAATGAGGTACAAAGCAAGAGCTAACGTAGCTGGGCTCAAAAAGCATGAAGGCGATCCTGTTACTTACTACAAGTAAGAAGCCTGAGCCAAGACATCTCCAATTCCAGTAATTAAAATGGTGTCACGCCTCGTGTGATGGGATGCTGACATCTTAAGAAACGCCGTTGAGCTTCTAGCAGTCATCCACGCTGGTTCAAACCGCAGTAGTGTCGTGTAGTTACTTCAGTGACCTGGCCGAACTGTTCCCCTGGCTGAGGCGTCACGGCAAGATACCCCGATGCCGTCCCAGGAGGGAGAGTGACAACTGGCGGTTACTTTAAAACTAGCGGCGCGCCCCGCTGCCGACGCGCCTCCTTCCGTCTAGAAACTTCGTCAGGCTGCAAAGTGGAAAACGTGTCTCTGCGCACCTCGCGAAGCTGTCGCGGCCCGCCGGCTCAACGAGGGCCTGCTCCACCGCCTACGCAAAACATGGCGGCCAGGTGCCCGCCTTTGGCTGAACAGGCGGCTTTGCCCGCAGAGAACTCTTACCACGGAAGAGGGGACACCTCCTGTAACCCGCCACCAGAACAGCACTCGGCCCCTCTCCGCGCCGGGGGGGAGAAGAAAAACCTCTGCAGCCCCGCT